TGTACCTTACTACTTACTACTACAAAAAAAAAGGCATTATTCCGAATCTGATTCAGCTATTTCTTTTACAAATAGTGTGATCTACTACTGCTACTACCGTGTAATCTGTAATGTAGTTCAAGGTGTTAATGATGCTTGCTGATAAACTAAAAAAGGTAAACACTAAATGCTTAGTTGCAACATTATTGTGCTGTTGTGCATAAACTAGGTACATTATCGTCATGCCTCAAAGTTCAGTCCTCTTTTTTATATTAATTGGAGTTCGACAACGATTTGCTTGGGGCTAGTTTTGAAATCTGTGTTCCTTCCGGCAACTGATCTGGAGATGAGCCGCAAAACAACATGAGACTTTAATGGTCAGAATTGACTATTTATCATCTATTGCTGAATTCCTATATGTGCAATGACTGCCTGGATCCCAGCGGTTCAATTTCATTTCTCTTTCTTTCATCTTTTGTGCTAAGCTACTGCATATTTGTTTTACTTTGCCTGAACACATGACAATTTTATTGAATATGGTTCATAGATGTTCGATTCAAACTGGGGTCTATGTTAAGAATTGAAGTCCTAAGACATTTTAAATGTTCCAACCAGGGTTTCTATCGGTACCGGACGCCAGAACTGAAAGAACTAATATTAGAACTTTCAAAGGCTGAGTCAGAGAAAGAATCGAAATTGAAAGGCATTCTTCAGAATCTGATTCAGCTATTTGTTGAGCATCACACTGAGTGGAGGCAGTTGGTTTCTGTTGTTGCTGGTAACGCTTCATGCAATATTTTTTTTCTCTTGCACTGTATTTTATTACAACAGTTTTATTTTACCATAGGTTAGCAATATTCCTAATGTTCTATACTTCTATGGTGTTTCCTCCTAATTGCTCTCTATTATTTTACTGTACCCCTGATTTGCTATTTTATTGAAAGAAAGTACTGAGAATTTGTTTGAAGTTCTATGTTACTAATTTTGGAGGGATTTATTGAAAACAAGTTACTAATTTTGCATAGACCATCTGACCACCTGCCAATTATATATCATCTTGTTTCCTTCTTCTAAAAGGCGTGTTTGTGCGACCCACTATATGGAAATCTTTATTGTCAAGGGTAAACAAGTAACAGTGATGTTGGTTAATGACTAAATATTACCCGTATGTCAGTTGATGCATGGCTAGTAAAGAACTGTTATCATGCTAGCTGTACTTCTAACAAAGACGCATAGCTGCGTATACCAGATTCATTGTGTAGGTAGATTTTCTGCTCTAAATGTTGCCTTTGATTTTATCATGCAGAGCTTGATGTATTGATAAGTCTTGCTATTGCAAGTGGTTATTTTGAGGGGCCAAGTTGCTGTCCAACTATCAAAGAATTAAATGGCCCAGACGATACTCCTACTTTCCATGCTAGAAATCTTGGACATCCCATTCTACGAAGTGATTCCTTAGGCAAGGGTTCATTTGTACCTAACGATGTTAAGATAGGTGGGTCAGGGAATGCCAGCTTTATTGTTCTTACTGGTCCAAATATGGGTGGTAAATCAACTCTCCTGCGCCAAGTTTGTCTTACCATTATATTGGCTCAGGTAATCCACCATCTTTATCATGTATATCACTATATCAGCATTGTTTGTTCATGGCAACTGATTTCATATTCTTTGCCAGATTGGAGCAGATGTTCCTGCAGAAAGCCTTGAGCTTTCTCTTGTTGACCGTATCTTTGTTCGAATGGGAGCAAGGGATCATATTATGGCTGGCCAAAGTACATTCTTGGTGGAGCTCGAGGAGACTGCCTCGGTGCTTGTAAGTTCTTCCTTCGAGATATGAGGACGTATATTAATTTTTTTAATTTGTATGTTCTCAACCGTGTGCAACTTTTGCCTCAGTCATCAGCTACCAAGAATTCTCTTGTGGTATTAGATGAGCTTGGGCGGGGTACATCGACTTCTGATGGACAAGCTATCGCGTAAGTTGAATTACTGATCATAACATTGATTGCTGCCTACTCCTGATATCTATTCATTCTCTTGTAGTCTCATGTACCTTTAATAATGCTCACTATGAGATCACTGACTCGCCCTTGCTACAACAGGGCCTCAGTTCTGGAATATCTAGTTCATCAGGTGCAGTGTCTAGGCTTGTTTTCTACACACTACCATAGGTTAGCAATGGAACACAAGGATACCAAGGTAACTGATACATACCTTGTCTTTTTTTTTTTTTGTTTCTTAATACCACTTTATCCAATGTTGTAACCTGCATATATGAATACTGAACATCGCAGGTATCGTTGTGTCATATGGCATGCGAGGTGGTTGAGGGAGACGGAGGTCTGGAAGAAGTGACTTTCCTTTATAGATTGACATGTGGTGCATGCCCTAAAAGCTATGGTGTAAATGTTGCTCGATTAGCAGGTCATTCTCAAGTTAATGTGTTCATTTCTCAGTTTCTTCTGCTCTGAATTCAAATGCTCTTTTCCTAAGGCCGTATTACGTTGACACATACTGCCATGCTCATTTGCTGTCTTTGCCCTTGATACTCAGGAATACCTACTTCAGTGCTTCAAAGAGCGAATGAAAAGTCAAGTGACTTTGAGGCCAATTATGGGAAGCGACACAAAATGTCCAAAGATAAGCATGCAAGTGCACAGAGCGATGACGAGTTTTCTGTCATCAGGGATTTCTTCCGCATTGTGAAGGCATGGCCTCGTCCTGAAGATCAGGAAGCGAGTATAAGCATGCTCCGTGAATTGCAGAAGCGTGCCAAGGTAAAGGCTGTGGAAGGTTAGGCGATTGTTACATAACATGTTCGCCTGGTAGAGATCGCCTCATTTCACTACCTTGGTTGCATTTCTTTTTGTTGGATTGGCGTCATATTTGAGAGGGGAGAAAATTCTGTGGACACAGTAAGTTCACTGTGGAAGCAAAAAAGGCTCAATCCCATACGTTCTGTCAGGATTCACTGAGGTGCTGTGGATTCAGAATTCAGCGTCTCCAGCTTACTATCCCTTCCAACAATTTGGTGCGCTCTCCGATTCAGTGATTCTCCTAAACAGAAGCCCCAGGATATTGGTCTGTCCTGGTTTGTTCGAGCTCGGTAGGGTGTTGGATCAGTGCTGACCAGCTGAGTGAGTAGAGGATAGATGTGGCTCAGTTTAATCTGAGACGTGGAGAAACACCCCAGATTGTAACTTCCATGAAAGGTTTATTCTGGAAGATGTAAATCACAGACTACTCTTTTTAAAGTTGCAAGCCAACTTAGGATTAGCTCAATTAATGCCTTTTGCATTCTGAAAAGTTCAGGCTTGAGAGGTGTTTTGCTGGAAAATTTTGCATTTAGTCGAAATTTGAGCTATAATCCAAACTTCCCCAAACGATACCGTCAACCCAAAATTGGCCCAGCTTCAATCTTTTATAGCCTTCTCGTACAATGATACAGTGGACAGAAATCTTACTAATAACCGTCCCACAGGACTCGCAGAATACTAGAAATATATCGTAGGGGTCGGTGAATCTGAGAGTAACAAAAATGCGAAAGCATATAAGCAGGTCCTCCGTCCAAATCAACACGCCAAAGAACAGCAGGCGTAGCAAAAGCTGTGTGGAAGCGGAAAGGGCACTGCATGGAAGCCAGCCTGCGCTGCTGGTGCCCCAGAATCTGATTCCCAGAAAGCACATCGATCGAGCCCGCACGGGAATGAATCACTCGAGTGAATTGGCCATAAAAGATCAGGCTCACAAGTAGTCAAGCAGGCCAGTAAGCAAAGCAAAGCACACCAAAGCGCATCAAGCCACGCCTCGCACGCTAATCCCTTCCCTTCCGCTGCTGGCCGCCCTTAACAACACTCGGTCAGTCCTCGCTCTCCCCGGGGCCTTTTTCACACTCTGCACCTCGCCGAAACCGCTTCGCCATCGCCATCGCCATCTTGCCGCCGAGGGGAGAAGAGCTCCTCGATCTGTCTCCATGGACTACAGGGTGAGTACCACCATGAGGGTTTTATGTGCTGTCAGAGTGTCAGTCCAAGCAAAATGGTTTTCGAGAGCTGAAACTTTGAGAGGCAGTAGTGACTGACGTGTACCCTGTACTCTGCAGCAGCCCTACTGCATGACTCTGAGGATGAACATCGACTGCAACGGGTGCTACCAGAGGATCAGGAGGGCGCTCCTCCAGATGCAAGGTAAACACTCCAGCTGCCCATCTGTGATGATGCCTGAAACCTCGGTTTGGGAGACTTATCTGAAACTTTTTGGTTTTTGCAGAGCTGGAGAGCCACCTGATCGACAAGAAGCACGGCCGGGTCATAGTGTGCGGCGCCTTCAGCCCGCAGGACGTGGCCATCAAGATCAGGAAGCGGACCAACCGACACGTCGAGATCCTCGACGTCAGCGAGGCCTCGCCGGTAGCCCCAGAAGGCAGCCCCGGCCACATGCCCTGAAGGAGCCACGCCACCAATACGTACTCTGGAGCTCTAGGCCTGCTTGCTATTCTCTTCAGCAGCAGCAAGGCAGGCCCGCCTCAGAGGATGTAAGCATGTGCCTGGCATGTTTTACCTACTTGTAACTTAGGAATCCTGCATCATTTTGTTCTGTAACTGTAAGGCTTATTTAAGTAGCCAGAAAATTTCAATACCATTCTAAAAGTCCATCTGATGCAACCAGAGAGGCTATGCGCATTTGCTTTAACTTTGCTCGAAACAGAAAAAAGATGATTTGCTGAATTTCTTGCCAATTAATATCGTCCAGTTAGACACAAACAAGATACTCTATAGGAACTAGGAAGCAACCTCTATCATTATTAATGCCCCAAAGTGTTTACACAATTCATGGTTCCTTGAATCAGGGTCTACCTCTAAGAATACATAATTGCAGATCGAAAACGAGCAGTGTAGAAACTGTACACAAAAATCTATATGTGGAGATAATAACATTGAAAAGTATCTCTTTATTATCTATATTGGCATTGTCTTCCAATTGTGAATACAAAAAAGTTAAGAACTTGTATGAAGCTTTCCTTACAATGTGAGGCTTTCAGGATCCTCAACAATCTTTGCAAATGTTTGCAGGAATGCTGCCAAATCAGCACCATAGATAATCCTGTGATCAGCAGTAACATTCACCTGAAAAATAAATGATAGGATCAACTTACTTAGATTCATGAACACCATCTCTGCAGGGAAAATTGGTTGCTATTATGTACCAAGATTGTGCTGTATTTTTTTCTTGCCCCTGTACTGTGAATATGATGCCTACCCCAGCTTGCTCAGCAGTGAGCACAAAAGGGTTTGTTGTTGTTTTGAGGATAGGATGGTGTGGTGTTGCACACAAATTTTTATATAGATCTAGAATAGTAGTTCTTATCGACAAACAAAATTTATAACACATCATTGTACAATTCTAATTTTAAAAGGAGTCAGTAGTATATGTACTTATGACAGAAAATAATCAGTTAACCACCAACACTAAATAAGGATGCCAAGTGTTCTAAATCATGATTTATCATGAATGATACCACCAAACAAAACTTGACCAAAACACATAATTGTGAATTTAATATAAACCAACTTAGATGCAAAAAAAAAACCTAAGCAGAACCATGCTAACATAGAAGCATGAATCTGAAACTGCAGCAAGTCTACACCCTATGCCTCTTACATTCAGGCGCAGTCACCAGATCCTTGTCTTGTATACATTTGATATGTGAAATGACATTATATAATAGATTTCACTTACATGTTCTAGGGAATAAGCAGACTGATCACAGACTTTTTGGTATGGGATTGTAGTTAAATGCTTTAAGGGTTTAGCTATGGTATTCACAAATAAATTTCATAACATACTACTGTGCTTTAGCATTTCCAATGAAATGTGCTAAGGCACATACACCAATTGATCTTCACAATTACATAAACGCTAGAAATACTAAACAACAGTCACTAACCAGAGCTTTGGTATACTCAAATTATAGATATAAATACGAGAACAAACTAACCAGCATTTCACTCTTGATACTAAAGAAACCATCCTTGTCAGCCACTACAGTCGGTCTTGATGCTCCAACAGCCATGATAGCCCCCTGCATATAGCCATGTTACATGTAAGCAATCTACTTGTGTTTAATAAATAAAATACAATTCTATCAACATTTCATACTAACTAGGCAGACAGCAGACACCAGGGAAGAAACCCACCTGACCAGCTGGAAGGATTGCATCGAATTTATCCAACCCAAACATACCCAAATTGGATAGTGTAAACGTCCCTACAGACAGTCAGCTCTTCTGGTAAGCAAAGTTTTCGTGAACAGCTGATGTCAATAGAACAAAGGATATGTTGTATACCAGAGTTGTATTCATTTGGTTGCAGCTGCTTCATGCGTGCCTTCTTGAGCAGCACTCTCCACTTTTGCGCAAGCAGATATATATCCAGCTGCCATGTAAATTTTTGGAGCTACTTAGTAGACATAAATTGTATGCACTCGACAGTCCACTCATACCCTAAAATGCTGCATTGCTTCACAGGCAACAGATCCACTGCAATAAGCACCAACCTTATTAGCATCCTCCAATACTGGAGTAAGAAGGCCACCCTCGAGTGCAACAGCCACTCCAATGTTGACATTACTATTGTAGGAGAAGCTCTTTCCATCTCTGCAGCTAGCATTTACTACAGGGTGCTGGGTGAGAGCCACAGCTGCCGCCTTCACCAGCAGCACTGTCTTTGTAACCCCCTTCGACTTAACCTATATCAAACTCAATTCAATCTGAGAAGCACTGCCTGTTCGGTTGGCTGGTTCGTTTTGTTGCTGGTTCGTGAAGAAGTACCGCTAGCTGGTTTGTGTGAGAGAAAAATATTGTTCCGGCTGGAAATTTACGATCGTTTACGACAAGCCACAGCCAAACGAACAGGCTGGTCGAGGTATGAAATTCAAGATCAATAGAAAACTGTACCTTTTTATAGAGTGCGTCAAGCTTGTCAGTGATCATGGAGTAGCCAACTCGGAACGTTGGCACACTCAAGCTCTCCACCATGTTCCTGCTCACTGCCCTCTGTCAGCTCTAAACCGGTGTTCTTGACAGCCGGTGAGCTTGCAATCGTCAAATGCAAATCACAGAAGCGCTCAAACACAACGTGAACACTTGGGACACTGGGTTTGGTGCTGCGAACTGCAAGCAGCGTTTTCTGTTCTTTTTCTTCTCTATTTATTCAGAATTACAGACTATCAGGACCACGCAGTGGTCAGGCGCGCACCGTGCGGCGAGCACGTCCATCCCCGTGCCCACGATGCCGCTCAAACACCGGTCATCCTCAGGACGTGCGAGCTACTCCCGCTGCTACTTCTACGCGAGATGGCAACCACAGATCAGTGCTCATCCGCATGCAAAACTGAATAAGAAACATGCAGTCCTAACTAACTGAGCCAGCCAATGCGCTAGGATTACTACTAACATTTCTCCTCCTAATTCTTGCGCATGGCCTGAATGTTGATGATGCCAATCTTGGACCGCAGCTCGCAGAAACGAACACGCCCCAAAGCCTTCGTCAGGATGTCTGCCAGTTCCTCAACAGTCCCAATGGACTCAAGCATCACCTGGTTCTCCTCAATGCATTCTCTGATGTAATGATATCTTACGTCGATGTGTTTACTGCGGTCATGGAAAACTAGGTTCCTGCTCAGTTGAAGTGCAGACTCACTGTCAATTTTCAGACTGAAGGCCCTGCCCTTCTCACCTCTGAACTCGGCAAGCAGACGGGCCAACCAAACACCCTGGCAGGCTGCAGTGGTGGCAGCTATATACTCGGCTTCACAGGAAGATAAAGCCACCACCTTACGCTTTCGAGAGGCGCCATGTGATGATCTTGGAGCCGAGGAAGAAGATGACTCTGTGGTGCTCTTCCTTGTATCAATGTCACCGGCTAAGTCACCGCTCACTATAGCCAATGAGATGAGCTCCTTCTTCCTCGATAATGGCACCAAAGTGCAAAGTTCCAAACAACATATCTCAAAGCACCCTTTTGATGACCACCATGTGCTCAGAGTTGGGTTCTCCATGAACCGACTAATGTACCTTACGAGTAAGCCAAATCCGCCTTGAATTCACCAACACCGAGAGAGCCCACAATGCTCCCTGTATTTTGTGGCATCAATAGAAGGAGCAGAGCTGGACTTATCGAGTTTCATCGAGGTTCCATGGGGTATGGCTTGGATTGCACCCTTCCACCAATGATGCTGGAGTATCTTCGCAAAGATAGGCACTCTGACGGTGAAATTCCTTCTTCAGATGAATCACTTCCATCCGAGATAATCTTTGGAGAAGGCCAAGGTCGCTCATCCCGAAAGTCGCCTTCATCTCCTCCTTGAAGATGCTTGATGTCGCTGGATTGCCACCGGTGATCACCAGATCATCCACGTACGCCACGATGAGACGCTGCATGCGCGACCTTGAGGTAGACAAAGATGCTTTCGATGTGCCGGGTGAACCCGAGTTTGATCGAGGACTCATCGAGCTTGAGTACGGTAGCGCGGGCTTGACGAAGTCCATAGAGAGCCTTGATCGGTGCACCACCTTCTTTCTCTTGATTCTTCACCACGAACCCCGGCAGCTGCTCGACGTAGACATCCTCCAGAAGCTCACCGTTCAGGAAGGCGGACTTGACGTCCATGTGATGGACTGCCCACCCTTCACTTTACGGCGAGCGCGAGCAGCAGCCTTACTGACTCCAGGCGAGCCACAGGCGCGAACACTTCATCAAAGTCAATGCCTTGGCGCTGCACGTATCCCTTGGCGACGAGCCGGGCCTTGAACTTGGTGACGAGCCCGGCTTCATCCCGCTTCGTCTTGAAGACCCACTTGAGGCCGATCGGGCGCACGCCTGGTGGAGGATCCACGAGCTCCCAAGTGTCGTTCACCTCAATGGAAGTGAACTCGTCGAGCATGGCATGGCGCCAGTTCTCATGTTGCAGCGCCTCCTGGAACGTCGTCGGCTCAGCTTCACTTGCAAGCAGCAGCTGCTCCTCCAGTTCACGTGCAGCGAGACCCGCGGCGTGGCGGACCGAAAGCACGTTGTCGACGTTGCGGTATCGCGATGGGGCATCATCGTTGTCGTGGTCCGCGTCCGGCCAGCGCGCGCGCCGCCGGTGCGGTGGTGACACGAACTCCACCGGGTCCGCTCAGCCGAGGAGGCGCGTGCGGCGTCACGCTCGGCCGCCGAACACCGGCGCAGGCGTGAACCAGCGAGGCGGGTGATGAGCTCCAGCACCATGTGCCGGGTGAAGTCTGGCCGAGGTGGTGTCGGAGATGTGGTAGCAGCCCGCTGACGAGTCGAAACTCGCCGGTGGTGTCGGTGGATGATGTAGCAATGGCGTGTTCGCTCAAGCAGCGAAGCGTCGAACTTCGTCGATGCATGCGTGGTGGGCGTGGTAAGGGCAATGGCGGTGTTCGACCATGAAGTCACTCACCTCGTTGAGGAAGGCGGTGACAACGGTCACCACGGCGTCTACTTGCTCAAGCCGTTCCGCTCGTCCAAGGCGTGGGTGGCAAGGTATCTGACTACGGGACTTGGTAGCGTTCGAGGAGGCGCGCAGCGGTCCCGCTCGAACACCAAGTCCGCATATGAAGGTGACAACGCCTAAGAAGAAACTTGATGATCGAGCGAGACAATGTGGTCATAGACCTCGACGCTTTGGAGCCGGCGTTCGTAGTCAACGAAGATTGTACCGCTTCGATCATCAAGTTTCTTCGTGTTAGGGCGTTGTCACCTTCATATGCGAGTCCGGACGCAATTAATGTCCGCAGTGCGGACGCCGGGAACGCGCCACCCGCCCGTAGCTCGAGGGGGTCTTGCCACCCACGCCTTGGACGAGGAACGGTTGAGCAAGTAGACGGCCGTGGTGACCGCTTCCCCAAGAACTTGTCGGGAGCCCTTTCGCCTTGAGCATGTGCTGCGCGGTTCCAACGACGGATTGGTTCCGCCCGCCCACGATGCCGTTTTGTTGTGGCGCGTACGGCGGCGCGTGAGTTGACGATGAACACCCGGCTCGGTGCGATTACTCGATGAAGTCGGTGGCGGCGAACTCACCGCCGCGGTCGATGTGCGAGGCGGCAGATTTCTTGCCGCTCTTGCGCCACCGCTTTGCTTGAACGTGCTTGATGCGCGGCGGCCATGGTATCCTTGGTTGGCAGCAGGCAGATCCACACATACCGTGAGTAATCGTCAACAAGCAACAGGAAGTACCGGTTCCCGCTTGGGGTAGGCGGCGTGATTGGCGCGCAGATGTCGCCGTGAAGAAGCTGCGCGTGGCGCCGACCGACCCCCCCAGCTTGGCGAGGGAACGCGCGCGCGCCGCTTGCCGACGAGGCAGGCGTCGCACACCTGCTCCACCTGTGACATCAGGGGCATGCCACGGACGAGCCCGTCCTTGGCCATCTTCCGCAGCGCCGCGAAATGCAGATGGCCGAACCTAGCGTGCCATACCCAGGCTTCTTCCTCTCCGCGCACCGCCAGGCACACCGGTTGTGCTATGTTGACGTCGAGCACATACAAGCGTCCTGGGCTGCGGTGGATCTTGGCAATGCCGGTGCTCTCGTCAAGACTTTCGCATGACCCCGCTCAACTCAAGACTGGTAGCCGGACTCGTCCAGCTGACCGACGGAGATAATATTCGTGGTGAGGCGGGGAAGGTAGTAGACATTGTCGATGGCGCGGTGTTCCCCTGTCTTGTAGGAGAAAAGGACGGTGCCGACTCCCTCGATGCGCGCTACGGAGCCGTCGCCGAACCTCACGGAACCAGTGACGCCGGAGTCGATGTTGGAGAACGCGGACCTTGCCCCGGACAAGTGGTTCGATGCGCCCGTGTCCAGGACCCATCTCCTAGGATCCCGGTCGCCGGCTTTGTCGAAGACGGCGAACACCTTGCCCTCTGTGAGATGGTGGTTGTCGGCGTGGATCGGTGGTGGAGTCGCCGGTCTTGGCTCGGCGGCGGTTTGCTCGATTTGGGAAAAATCCCTCCCCGCTCTCACGATTCACCGCAAGGAGCAGAGTGGACTCGTCATCACAGGCCATGTAGGCTGCTCCGGCTTCTTCTTGCTCTCGCAATCTTTGGCCCGATGGCCTTTCTTGCCACAGTCTTGCGGAGCATCATCGCCGACGCCTTGGGCCGAAGTTCGTCCCCGGCCACGCTGCCGTTGCCGCCGCCACCGCTGCGGCCCACGGCCCCGCCCGCGACCGCGTCCTCGTCCACGACCGCCCGGAGCTCGAGCCGCCCGGCCATTGCTCCTCCGTGAGCGGAGCTTGCCGGAGATGTTGTTCAAGTGACGGCTCGTCGTCGGTTGCCGCCTTTGAGTCGCCGGTGACCTCCTCAACAAGAGAGAGCGTGTCGATGTCGAGGAGGTCTCAATTGAGACGACGAGCTGCTTGTATCATGGACGACGACGCGAGAGATACTTCGCCACCACCTTCGGTTCCGGCCCGGGTCCCCGAGGATCGCCAGCGCCGCACAATGTTGGACGATCAAGAAGGCGAAGTCCTCGACGGACTCCCGTCGCATGAACGCAATTTGCTCGTATTTCGCGCAGCAGTTCTGCGCGATCGACTTCCGCACCCCGATGCGTCGCCGTCGCGCATCGCCGGATCGCCTCCCACGCCTCCTTGGCCGACGGCTTGGTCGCGCGGTGGGCACCATCTCTGGGAACGCCGGGCGAGATCGCCTCCAGCGCGCCGGATGCGTCGTGGAAGTCGACATCTTCGTCCTCGGCGCTTCCCAGAGATGACGGGCTTGCATCTTGGCTTCATCAACAACGACCAGAGTCGAGTTCGTCTTCGTGAGCTGCGGCCATTGTTACGAGCCGCTTCGTCTCCGGACCACGCGCTCGACGACGACCTCCCGTGGGCGCCGCGTTCGCGAGCGGCCACCGCGGCGAGTCCGCGAACGACGCGATGGTGATCGACTTGGAGACGGTGAGCGCGTTGGAGTCTTGCTGCCGAAACCGCTGCCCTTCTCCTTCGTGGCCGACGGCGGCGTGCGGCCTCGGCCCTTCGGCGACATCATCGCGACGCGCTAGGTCCTCCTCTTACGGCTCTGATGCCAATTGTCAGCTCTAAACCGGTGTTCTTGACAGCCGGTGAGCTTGCAATCGTCAAATGCAAATCCCCAGAAGCACTCAAACACAACGTGAACACTTGGGACACTGGGTTTGGTGCTGCGAACTGCAAGCAGCGTTTTCTGTTCTTTTTCTTCTCTATTTATTCAGAATTACAGACTATCAGGACCACGCAGTGGTCAGGCGCGCACCGTGCGGCGAGCACGTCCATCCCCGTGCCCACGATGCCGCTCAAACACCGGTCATCCTCAGGACGTGCGAGCTACTCCCGCTGCTACTTCTACGCGAGATGGCAACCACAGATCAGTGCTCATCCGCATGCAAAACTGAATAAGAAACATGCAGTCCTAACTAACTGAGCCAGCCAATGCGCTAGGATTACTACTAACACCCTCTGCATTGTCGTGAACGGCACCACCGTGCTACCGGGCACTGGTGGCAGCACCGCACTTGCGGGCATTGGTGGCGCAGGGCCAACAGCAGCAGGGGGTGGAGGTGGAGGGGGCGCGACCTTTCGCTTGTGCTTGACGCCAGCAGCTGACTCGACGTCAGCCGCCGTGACGCGGCCGTGTGGCCCGGTACCGACAACCCCGGCGATGTCCACCCTGTGCTGCTTCGCGAGCTTCTTGGCGTAAGGTGTCGCGATGCCCTTTGTCGCTGGAGGCGCCACAGGCGCTGGAGGAGGTGGCCCCGGGGCGGCGGCGGCGGCATGGGGAGGAGAGGGTTCCTGGCTTTGTCCCTGCGAGAGGGCCTGAGCGCGCGCCGGGGCCAGCGCGACCTCCTCCTCTGATTCGGCGAGGAGGGCGATAGGGGCGTCTACGGGGGCGGTCCCACCGGCTGGGACGAGGACGACTGCGACTATGCCGTCGTGGAACGTCTCCACGTCCATGTCGGCCTTGTCGGACTCGACGACCACCACGGGGTCGCCCTTGGCCACGCGGTCCCCCTCGGCGGCCGTCCAGGAGACGATCTTGCCCTCCGTCATCGTCGAGCTCAGCGCCGGCATGAATATCTCCCGAATCTTCGCCCTCACCACCGCCATCCTCCGCCGCCGCGGAGCCGCCGGAGCAGCAAGGCGCGCGCGCCCCGGGGCGGTGGGGACGGAGAGGTAGGGAGAAATCAGAGACGCCATGGTCCACTGGTGGATGATCACTGAAGAAATGACCCGCCTCTCAGGACTCAGTTGGGTCGAGGACAACGCGGGCTGGGCGGCAGAATCCGGCGAGCGCCGCGGCGGCGCGAGGTGGGAGTGGGAGACGAACCAGAGCGTTAGGTGAAGGCGGCCAGCCCACTGCAGTGTGGGCCCATGGCGCCAGTCGCCGTTAATAGTCCGTACGACCTGGCATCTCTTGCGTCCGTCTGATCTCGATCCAAATCTTCGCAGCTTGTCCGATGGATGGACCATTAGCGGCGGAGATCGTTACGGTTACGGTGGCCCGCTAATTAGCAATAATTTGAAAACCCCTCGAACTTGTTAAGAATTCCTTAATTAAATAATTGATGGGCTCATACCATATATGTCTTATAGGCCCATATATGCTCCGAAGGGTATATTTGTATAAAGGGCCTAGCTGCATACGTGAATAGACAAATAAATAGATGACTTCCTCCCACGTATATTTGTCTCGTGTGTTCATGTGGGTTGTTCTTGGGAATTGAGAAGAAAAATGAGATTTGCATCTACAACTTCTATACGCCCCGTTCTTAGGATTGGAGACGGGAAAACAGATTTAGCAATCCATGAACAAGTTGATTCTTCCAACTTGGTGAGACGATCTTAATTTGTTAATAATTTATGGATCTTGAAATACGATGCTAATCGTGGTTTGATTTCTATTTTTTCCAACGCCTTCGCACCTCTTGATTGAGTGCCGCCTGTCCGCGTGGCTCGCTGGGTTTGATGACGCCTCCGTCGTGTACGTCTGCTTCTGGAGCATGGCGGTGCTGCAGGACCTTCATGCCGCGGCGATGGAACGGACACGGGTGGCATTCGGCTCTGTTTGTTGACTAATTTATTATGAGAGAAAAACATTGTTTCATTCGCTGAAAAAATATGAGTGCGTGGCGGCGCTATCGGCCACAACCTCTACGTTGGAGAAATCAAACTCTGATTTGATCACCACATCAGTAAGAATATGCGTGCATGTATGATGCAATCTATGCATCGAATCAATCTTCGCACGGAAGAAAAAAGTCACGATCCCAACTGTCATCGTTTTTCGTCAATTACGTTGCTGGTTTAATATCGAAACACAAGCCACGATGAAAATCCTATATCTTACTAGAAAAGATCGCGGCGCTGCCGCGTATGGCCAGTGGACGTGCCCGTTGTATTATAGATGGTCCTTGTTTTGTGTACAAATAAAATCATGTGAAAACAGAAATTTTCTTACTTGATCCTAATATAAATATAGGACCATCATATACTCTGGGCTTAGTGAATGCAGGGGCATGATAAAAGTATCCATATTAATTAATTAAGTAAAAGAAGGTGGAATAGGGTGTTTTTCTACTGCCATCTTGGGTTATAATTTTTTTTTGTCATAAATGGACTTAGGCAGAGTGGAACAACAGTTTTATTGGTCTTGTCCTCTGTCCATGGCTGACCAAACCAGATAAAATTTTATTGGCATATTAATACAACGAGTACATTTGACTCTTCGCAATTTTTTTGAATTTTGACAATTACATTTGGTGGATATATTTATTGCATACTAAATTTATATGCGACGAAGCTATACTTTAGAACCCAATTGAGGAGCATAAGTCATGATAGATTTACCTTCAAATTGTGCTACATGCTTGTTTAGATTTTTCTCTCCCAAGTCTCCTCCCTTCATTTTTTGTCACTTCCGGCTGGGCCATTTAAACGTGGCTAAAACCTTTGAAATATCTGATGCTTGGTAAAAAAAAAAACTTCAGCCACTTCAGCTCAATCACATTGATTGACCTAGTTTGCAACGAAATAAATTCAATTCTGAAACTGTTTTAAGTGTGCATGTTAGTAAAATAGAACTCCAATATCTTCCTCGAATTATTTCCAAATTATTTTGGTTGGCATTTACTAATTTAATTTTTTTTCGATCACGCAAAAGGTTTGTGCGTCTTAGTATTAAGGTAGAGAAAAAGTTCAATACAACACGCCTTCGGGTGCCCTAGGGGGTCAGTAAAGGTTTGCATGAAAGCTTAGACCTTCTCTAGTGTACTGTAAGCTAGGTTGTTACATTGATAGAGATAGGTTGTTACATTGGATAGAGATTAATCCAAATTTTCGGCGCTGGCAAGGAGGCCTATGCCCTAGCTGTCAGACGGCGGCACCGCTTGCGCGCGCCTACGTCGCCAACCTGAGGGAACAACTCACGCAACACTTGCATATGAGTGTGGTCGCTATTGAATACATCATCGTACGTCATCGCTGACGTCAACGGAGGCGACATCTCGCTGGAGAATCCCAGACGCTTCATGATAAGGTACTCACCTCGCTTGACTGTCGGGATAAAAGCTCAAAGCTAATTTAAATTTGATGCCTAAATTAGCTAAAAGCTTATGAACTTTTTTGAACAATTAGATTTTTCACGGAGACCTCGTCCGAATTAGTTTTGTGGCCTACCTTAGAATTAAATAACTCGAGCTGTGTTGAGTTTTTTAGGCCGTGCATGTTAACTCGTCCAACTTTTAGTGAATGTTAACTCTTTTATATAAGAGAAAATTGGTTCTATACCACCGAAAAAACTACACTTTCGTAAAATACCACTGAAAGACGTTCATCACGTAAAATACCATCAAAAGACAGTGCCATTACCTCTATCTAGCATTCGTCACAGTGGCAAACCAACGTCGTGAAATCCACCTTCAAATGCCTGAAAGGAAAAAAAAGAGAACGGGTCTGGTCCTCCCCTCGTTTGCTGCCTGTTCGTGACGACGTGGAGGCGAACTGAGTCGGGGCACGTAAGGCGGCGCCCAGCGCGCAGGCAAGGTCGAAGCCGGGGCACGGCCACGGCCACACCGCGCAGGCGAGCTCCGCCATGGCGCGTGATGCGGCGGTCGCGCCACGCAGGCGAGCTCAGCCGCGGCGCGTGAGGCGGCGACTGCGGTGCGCAGGGGAGCTTGGCCGGAGCACGGAAGATGGCGGCCGCGGCGTGCAGCCGATGAGGCGAGCTTGCTAGGGCACACGAGGCGACGGCCGCTTCGCGAAGAAAAGCCACGGCCACACCGCGCAGGCGAGCTCCGCCATGGCGCGCAATGCGGTGGTCGCGCCACGCAGGCGAGCTCTGCCGCGGTCGCTCCAACTCACATGCACCGATGATGCACGCGACTACGTGAGCAAGAAGATGGTGCGGGGCAGAAAGAATGAATTAAAAATTGAAATGGTACGCATGGGAGAGGACGGTGGCGGAGGTGCCATTGCTAGCGACGCTCACGCGGAGCTCGTGGGACTAGCCGCCCGGGATGATGGTGTCGGCGGCACGGGCGAGCCCAAGCTGGTAGACCTCGGCGGCGAACAGCAACGTCTCCCGCACCGTGAGCATCGGGTACAGCCGGTCGTCCTGCTTCGCGTACGCGGAGATGGCGCGCAGGCGGCGGCCCTGCAGCGGCTCCCTGTTGAGCGTGACCCTGCCGCCGTGGAGGCTATCGTGCGCGATCCGTCCCGCCAGCGCGTTGCTGGACCCCTCACGCCCACACACATCACGGTGAACAGCTCCCCCTCGTGTGCGTGTGCAGCGGGCGCTGCTACGCGCGCCTGGGCCGAGCTTTTCTTCGCGAAGCGGCCGCCGCCTTGTGTGCCCTGGCAAGCTCGCCTCATCGGCTGCACGCCGCGGCCGCCATTTTTCGTGCTCCCGCCAAGCTCACCTGAGCGCCGCAGTCGCCGCCTCACGCGCCGCAGCTGAGCTCGCCTGCGTGGCGCGACCGCCGCATCACGCGCCATGGCGGAGCTCGCTTGCGCGGTGTGGTCGTGGCCGCACCCCGGCCGACCTTGCCTGCGCGCCCCGACTCAGCTCGCCTCCGCGTTGTCACAAACATGCAGCAAACGAGGGGAGGACCAGGACCCGTTCTTTTTTTTTCTTCCAGGCGTTTGAAGGTGGATTTCACGACGTTGGTATGCCACTATGACGGAATGCTAGATAGAGGTAACAGCACTGTCTTTTGATAGTATTTTACGTGACGAACGTCTTTCAGTGATATTTTACGGAAGTGGAGTTTTTTCGATGCTATAAAACTAATTTTTCCTTTATATAATGATGAATAAAGGTGCACACACTCTCTGTTGCAATGTGCTGCTCGCAGGCCGCCCCTGCCCGTGCCGCTGTCGACCTTGCTCCTTGCGAGGCAAACGAGTAGCCAGGACCAGGAGGATTGGTGTGTGGGGTCCACGTTCCATCAGGTCATCACAGCAGCACGTGAAAGGCTGAGCCAAACTCCATCCTTTATCGATCCACTGCACCGCTGCACACAACAGACAGCACTACCCTTCCAAACCATTTCTCCGTCTCTCTGTTCTTGCTAGCACTGCGCACAGCGATGCTCTTGAGTTTTCAAAGATCAGATTCACAACGAACAGGACCAAATAGCAGCTCTCTCTCTTCCCCAAAATCAACAAAGCAGCAATTCTTCGTCCCCTTCACCCGCCCAGCTCTGTGGGCGAGGCCTTTGGCCAAGCTGAAGTGAGGCCGGCGCGCAGGCATGGTGTGTGTGGTGGCGGACGGCCGGCGCATCCTGCGCCGGCGTCCGGTCATAGCCCATCCACTGGAGCAAGTTCCAGCCTCTGCAGCCTCCCGGGTTATGCTCGTCGCAGTTGAAGGAGAGCTCCAGTCCCTGCAGTGCGTGCTCCCCATGGGCGAACTCCAGCCACGGCGCCGCGTCTTCGGCGCGTGCTTGCCGCCGACGAGTTGCAGCCTCGGCGCCGTGGCTTCGGCTGGTGGCGGGGGCCGCGGCCGTGCCTGGGCTTGGGCTCGGACGAGGGGAGGCGGAGGTCGTGCTGTGGCGAAAGAGGCGCCAACTTCCTCATCCACCGGCGAGCTCCATCCAGCGGCCGCTGTGCGATGAACGCCGGTTGGGCCATTGCTTCTCCAACTTGGCCGAGGTACGGCGGGCGGAGGGCCCGGCGAGGCGGAGGGGATAACCTCGACATGA